GAGTTGAAGATCATTTCTTCATTAGTCGTGGCCCTCTTGACCGACCTTGCCACATCAATTGTAGAGTTTACTATAACACATACAGGATATTTCGTGTAGTCTGGTTCCCTTGACTTCAATTCAACGTAGAATTTAAGATTGCTATCGTCTTTTATGCACATCGGTGGATATTCTTCTTTAAATTGATATTTCAACTCTAAAATAGAATCGGTCGACGTACCTCCAAGTTCTTCCATGAGTACGCTGCATAGCTTGTCGTAGCAGCATTGTTGTTGAACCAAAACACCCAACAACTGAAAATTTTGGTATTCATTCTGATTCCACTCACCACTGTGATGAATGATTATCATCATGGGAGAATCCATCTATATAAAAAAAAATAAAAATACGTTAAAAATAAACGCTGATTTGGTGATGAGGATCACAAAAAAACATATATACTGAAAATATACGCGATGAATCAATTTTATGTACCGTATATGGATTAGTTGTAATCCGCTTTGGTCTCGATCACAGTAGAAAGTATTTGTTGATCCACTCACTCTATGACTGCTTTTGCAGTTTAAATTTTGAAATATCTTCATTCTAAATCCTCGTTGATTTGTTATGCGAGAGTTGAAGTGTTATTAGCTCTTTCCATGTATAAGTTTTTTTTTTTTTAATGATCAGGAGTTCCGTAAAAAAGGGAACTGAATCCATTTGGTTTTGGTAATAGATACTATCGCATAAAAACAAATAATAGACATTGATTTCGGTGGGTTGTTAATATTTTACTCTTAATCGTAGGTTTGCAATTATCTGTTAATCACATAGGAGGCGTGTAAATTGGCCTATTTATTATATATCTATGTTATATTTTCTTACAGGGTTGGGTTCCAGCGAGAAATGGTCTTAATGAAATAAATGAAAATAAATCGTGGCCATTAGATCGGATAATTTAATGACAAAAAGAAAAGTCAACATTATACCTTCATTAAGGGTATTTCAGACATTTTAATCTATTTATTAGTGGACCCATCAGACCCACTAGGAAGTGGGTCCCATAACTTACCCCACTTATACAACTCACGCCAACACACACTGTCATTCCCCCACCATCCAGCGGGGCCCAGCCACCCCCCAAACCCACCCCACACCCACACTCTCTCTCTCTCTCACACACACACACACCACAAACACACACACACGCAACGCACTCCTCTGGTAACATCACCCGCCGCCCTCCGCCCGCCACCCGTCGACCGTCGTCTGTCTCCAGTCGCCCGTCGGTCCAACATCAACCATCATCCTTCACAGCCACCACCACCCTGCTCCATCGCCGATCTCGAAGACAACAACCTCTGGTTGAGATCGGAGCACTCGACAACCTCCGTCGCCACTTGCAGCCGCAGACAATCGGCGATGACACGCCGGAACGCTAATTGATCGAAGACAGCCATACCACCATGAAGCCGCTCGGCCCCGTAAAAAATCGGAATCGCCGTGGACTATGCCAGCCATGAACCGCTCAGCCCCATCAGAAAATTGGACTCTCCGACTTCCTATTCTCGCAATCCGGCGATTGGACCGCCGACAGCCCCTAGAAGATGCGGCAGGCGTGCGGCAAACATAGCATTACACCTGCAATAAATGGAAATAGGGATGGCTAATTTTTGAGAACTAGTACAGAGCCCGTGCGATGCACGGGATGCACAATTTTAAGGCTATTTATCCAGGCTTATAATTATATACATGAATAAAAATAAATCTACGGGATATATATAGTACGTGACCCGTGCGAAGCAGGGGATATATTTATTTAGAGAATATTATATTATAAGATGCAATATTCAATAAAAGTTTATAATACGCAAGAAAATTGTACAATGTTCAATAAAAGTTTTATAATATTCAAGTGGAGTCTTAAAGTCTCTTGTACATAAGACCATTGACAAAATAATATTTTAATCAATGAGTTTCCTTTCCTTGTAGCCAAATTGTGAATATGAGTTGAGGAGTACAACAAATCGATATATAGCTGACTTGCTTTTTTCATTGTAGTTTTTTTTTTTCTTTTTTTTTTTTTATAATAAATTTAAAGATATTCTAAAATATAGCAAAAATTAATTTTTTTTTATTACAATTAGGAATTTTACTAAATATAGACTCTCAATCTATGGTGTTAATCAACGTTTAAGTCAAAAAAATTAGGAATTTTTAACTCTTTTAATCAACGTTTAAGTCTAAAAAACAATAGAGTTATTATAAGTTTTTTTCTACATCTTTTAAAACATTAAATATGAGCATGTTAGGGCTAGCTTGTAAAATAATTAATATATTATCTCACTAAAACATTTATACTAATAAAAATTTAATTTTAGCATATAAATTTATCCCTTGATATAAGAGAAAGTAACAGTTTTACTTATTGTTGTTCACCATATAATATTTAATTATTATTTTTATTATATAATAAAAAAAGAATATTGTTAAATAGTGTAGTAGAATTGTTATAAAATTATATGATTTTTTTTTTACAATATGGTTTTAATATTTTTTTTATGATTTGATAATATAAACAAATCTATACTTAACTTTGACAAATAAAACAAATAAATAATTTAGTAAGTATTTAATGTATATACTAAATAGGAATATATTTGGTATAATCAAATACCAAATATAATCAAATAACTCAAATTGTACATTTTTATTTGGTATTTGATTTTTTTATTATTAAAATCTTTTTATTAGGCTTACCTTTTTAAAATAAAATAAATAAATAAATCAATTAAATAAATAAAATATTATGATACTAAAATAGTAATTGCATTTAATGCATTTGACTTTTCTGGATAGTAAATGTAGTAAATAGAATCTCCTTTTATATAAGTATAGATTGTATAATACGGAAATAGTAATGCAATAAATGTTGTTGACTTTTCTGGCTACTTAATTTGGTAAAGAGGACTCCCTTTAATATAAGTATAGATTTGATAAATTATAAGGGCCTAATTGAAATTTCATAAAATTTGATAAATTACAATTTAGTTTATGGGTGAGTTTTATAATTTATCAAACATTTAACAATCTACAATAAAATTTGTAAATTAATAATTTTATTTATATTTCAATTTAACCCTTGTGTCAAATATGTAATTTATAAAGAGTATATAAAAGTATAATATTTTTTATATCTTTTAATTACAGTAAATAATAAAAAAAACATTAAATAAAAATAAGATAAAATATTAACATATTATTGAACATATTGCACATTATTAACTGACGAGTTTCACTTTCGTGTTAGTGAGATTGCACCTCAGCATAACAAATACACGGTGATGTTAATTAAGTTAATAATATAAAATATTAAATACAAAAATTATAAATACTAAATACATTTTTATTACGCAAAAATATGATACATGCACAGTAATTTTAATTACAAATACATACATTTTTACAAAAAATTAAAATTGAAATGCACGTTAGTGTTCGATTTCATTTTGGTTGCGACGAAAGTTCAATTCTTACAGACTGCACATAGAGGCCGAAAAACATGCACATTAAAGGCTGTTAGGTTGCAATTTTGTGTATGTGATATTTCACTTTAGCATATGTACCAACCAAAATGAACATAAACAATATATACATAAATATATATTTAAAATCCAAAAAAATATACTTTTTAAAATATAAATTATACTTTTTAACCATAAACTAATATAAAAATATATAAAATATTAAAACGCTAAATATACTTTTATAATATTAAATAATAAAATATTTTAATTATTCAAGTTAATTCAATGTACAATTATAACTATTAAAACTAGTTTTCGAATACACATAATTAGCTGAGATCGTATAAAGTAGTGCACTTCATACAACAACACATTGCATTTTATTAAACAACACGTTGCACTTTATAAAATAAAATGTTGCACTGTATAAAAACATCGAGCTACATTTTATTATTGCACTTCACAATTAACGTCAATAGATCCCGTCAAAAATACTATACAAAGTAAATCTAATTTTACATTCATCACATCGTCTATCCACAAAAAACACAAGCATGCTAACGTACCAAAATTACAGTAGTGCACTTTATATATCAACATGTTGCACTTTATAAAACAACGCATTGCACATTATAAAACGATACGCTGCACTTTATGATGACTATCATATCGCACACAAATAGTGAGCGAAACCGACCGAACCCAACATTTTTTCAACCAAACATAACATAAAAATGATTACTAAAATTATTAACTTATTACTATAATTTTAACAGATATAGCAAAATACTTCTCCAACAATAACGATAAATTCCGAACAAGCTAAAATTATCGATTAAAAAATTTGTATTTCATATCGATTATGCGGCTTTACCTTTAAAATCACGGTTATTTCAGTTCGATGCCGGCTTTAGTTTTTAAAATAAACGAAATACTTATTGAAAAAATGAGCAAGAAATTTATGAAGGTTTTATTAATTAGGTTTTCTTAAATGCCTATGAACCAGTAATTATATATATATATATATATATATATTAATAACA